AACACAGCGCCCGGCACAGAGCTGGTGTGGCTCAACACTCCACGTGGCTCACAGGGGCCCACGACTTGTCCTGAGCCTGCTTTCCTCTCCCTCTGACTGCCCTCACTCAGTGACCTCATCCGCCGGGGCTCCAGTGTGTCTGCACGTCCTCAGTGCCCCCATGAGGGATAAGGACTAGCATTCTCTGGTGGCCTAAGCAAGGCAGCGTCAGGGGGGAGGGGACAGAATGGGCCAACAGTCCAGGGTGGGCCACTGAGAACCCACTCCTGAATGCAACAGGGAGAATTACAGAAATTCCCAAACAGAGATGCTCGGCACCCCTACCTCACTGTTGTGAAAAACAAAACACCCCAGCAGTTTATTTCTAAGAGTCCCTGAAAAGGCAGTATCACTCAAGTCTTACCTTGAAGGTTTTATCCATGGAAACTGAGAGAAGCATGTGACTCTTAGCAAAGACCGGACACCACTGAATGCTGTTGACAGGGCCCCTGTGGCTTCTCAGGTGGAAGAGCACTTTCCTGGGAATCGTGGTTTCTTTATACTGACTGTCCAAATATGGCTGAATAAACTCGGACACTCTGGGGGCCACACAGAGAGGGGCCGGGGCACGCCCTGCAGATGGACCCTGGGCCTCCACATCTTTACTCTTGCCAGTTTCTGTGCTTAATGCCTGCGACTGTCGTAGTCTTTTCGGGGTGTAGGGCACGATACAGTCCTCACACCTTTTCCTCTGAAGGGAGTTGCCATTTTTACCCGGGGTTTCAGATTTGGTTTGGGCACAGAAGGATGGTTCAGGGGAGTTGTAAGTTCCCAAGGAGAGTTTCACCTGCCTAAAGCGGGCAGCTGCCAGGGGCACATGACCAGCTGGAGTGTGGCTGGTCCACAAGGAAGGTCGAGGAGGCTTATCTGTGGGGAAGGTGACATCAGGCTCTGTCCGGGGCCACTGTAGCCTCTGGCTGGGACAAGATCCTGGGTCACTTCTCCAGAGCCGAACCAGTGGGAGACAATGGCCAGCAGGGTCTTCACAAGAACCATGCTTTGTGGGCAGTGCTGCCCCTTCCGTCATACCTGGGGCTTCACATGCAAAATCCTGCCCAGGAGGTTTGACCACATCAGAGGTGTCTTTCATCTGGCTGACAGCATGAATACTTCCCACGGACTCAGTCTCAGCCTCTGACTCCGAGTCATCATAAGCCACCAATGAAGCCATTGAAGACAGAATTTCTTGCTGTCCTTCGAGGACAAACTACCTGAGACCAAACAAAGTCCAAGTGTCAGAAAATACGCATGGAAGAATACTTACCGCCACATGTAATTACAAGAAAACATGCCACCCAGCAAATCCACGACTGGAAAACTCTAAGAATAAACACATTAAAAAATGAGGGCTTTTCTATACACCAGGCTTAATTAGAAGACTTAATTTTCTTAAATGAAGACTATGGGATATCTGTGAATAATTTAAACAAAAAATTAGCAAGATCTGTAAGAAGAAAACTAAAATTTTATTGGAAGACATAAGAAAAGGACCTCGCTAAATGGAGACTGGATGCCTGGACAGAAAGACTCAGGATTTTGAAGATGCCTTTGGGAAGGTCAATTTAGGCCTTTGAGGGTAGGTCTGAAAATACTAAAATGGAAAGATGTCCAGAACCCACCCTTACGTTCACCCTCCCCTTGGGTTCCAGTGCTTCCTTTACCCCCTGCCTAGATATCCCATCTCAACCACAAGCCAGTTGGGGAGACAGACCCACAACACAAGACCACGGCATTCGAGGCACCAGTCCCCCCAATTCTGAAGGTATGGTCCAAATCTGCCAGTTTCACCCCAAACACACACACAGCAGTGAATTTCCCCTTTCTAAAAAATTCTTCCTGAAATTCTGAACCATCATACACGATAAATTGCTGCCAACTAGTTTCTGGAAAGAAGTCCTTCAGGCTGGAGTTCAATTCTGTGCTCTGAAGAGGAGGTCCAGTCAGGAGGAAACCGAGGGTGCGCAGCACATCCCGGACAGCAGAGGGCGTGCTGGAGCAGCACGAATAGTTAGCCACCTTCCAAGTTCTGAGATGCCCCAGGTGTCCTACCTTAGTGTAACCACAGCGCTCCTCCTCCACGTATGCGGGGTCAGGTCAGCACCAGAGACTCCCTCTGGGTCCCTCGTTAAGCCACTCTGCCTGTCTGTCACCCAGCTCTTTCCCTAGAGAGTGGGTTTTGCGTCCCCTGGAATCCAACCACTTCACCCTGTCACACCTTTCCCCCAAAGGGTACCCATCGCCTGAAGGGCTCCACTGCTTCACACATCACGTCATCATTCAACAAATGTAGTCTACCTCCTCCAAAAGTCCCACCACCACCCCTCCCCTGCAGCCCAATCTAGGCAGGTAACACCTTCCATACACAAAGCCATCCTCTAAATAAAACTTATATAATGGACTAATTATAAACTAGCAGACTGTGCTCTGCAGACAACTTGACGTTTCTGTCCTCTAAATACTTAGCCTGGTCCTGCTCAGACATCTCACCTGTACACAGCGCCACACCCCACAGCATGCCACTCCTTCCTGTCACAGGGAGCCCACCAGGTCCCCCCCACCAGGGGTTCTGTCTGTGCTCAGCCGCTAAGATGGATCCCCACCCACCTAGCTGTCTGCAGCACTTGACTCAAAAGAGAGGCCAATGGCCAGAATTTAAAAGAGGTCTATGGTGGGGCGCCTCGGTGGCTCAGCCAGTTAAGCATCCGACTTGATTTCGGCTCGGGTCCTGATCTCAGGATTGTGAAATCGAGCCCTGTGTCAGGCTCTGCGTTCAGCGAGGAGTCTGCTTGAGATCTTCCCCCTCCCCTCCTCTCATGCAAGCTCTCTCTCTCCCTCTCTCTCAAATAAATAAATAAAATAAATCTTTAAAAAAAAAAAAAAGAGGTCTACAGCAAAACATCAGAGAGCAGGAGGATGGGGGCCCATTAGCCCACTTCCCTAACAAGGAAAGGCAGCAGGGACGGAATGAACGCAGGAGGGTGGGTGATAAGGCTCCGGACACCACCGGCCTCGTGTACATTTCATTGGTTTAATCAGCACGGATGGGCTACTCACCAAGCCCCACAGCAGGCGCCAGGAACAGTCAGCCACGGCCTGCGTTCACCATGCTGACACGCAGTGGGAGAGACAGACCACAATCAGGCGAAATACAGGCTGTCAGGTCCTAAGAAATCCTACGGAGAAAAGTAAAACAGAGGAGAGGAGAGGTGGCGGTCAGCTTGGTTGCGGTTTCGCGGGGACCCGAGACAAAAGGTGAGGTGTGAGCACTGCCGGGGAGGAGGGGAGGAAGCAGACGTGGGGAGAAGCCCTGGAGAAGGAAGCCAACAAAACTAACCAAATGGGGCCAGAGAGGAGGCGGCAAGGGAGACTCAAGGAAAACGGGCAAAAAATGGAGAAGAGTGGGAGCACCTAGGAACAATGGTAACCTCAGGGGGAAGAGTGCTGCCTTTCATGTTTCTAAGGCAAATGGGGCGGGGAGGAAAATTTTTCACGGTGGGGGCGGGGATCCAACCAAGAGGAAGAGGTAAGGGCGCCGCAGACACGAGCGACAGTACGAGGGAGTGGCCCTGCGGGTCACCAGCAGGTCAGCTCCACGACGACAGGACCTCCCGTGTTTTGTTCACTGTTTGATCCCCAGCGTCTAGAAATATTTGTGAAATGCAGCCTGGGGGGAGGGGAGGGCACAGAGAAAGTAAAAGAAATAGAATATTCTCATTCAGCAAACACGTCCTGATCACCTACTCTGTGCCAAGCCTTATGCTGGGTCTGCTGTGCACAGAGATTAAACACAAAACACGGATCCTGCGCCGCAGACCACAGACTGAGGAAGACAACAAGGAAGAGACGACCAGGGATGGGTTTTGAAGGATGAATAGAAGTTAGCCGAGCTGTCAAGAGCTGGAGGTAGGGCGGGCCCAGAGCTCTGCGCGTCCGAAGGCATTGGCGAGGAAGGACGGGCGAAGGACGGTGAATGGCCGGCGCTGAGGGGCTCGGAGCGCTCGGGCCGCCCCGCCGCCGCCGCCGCCCGGTCCCAGCCCCCTCCCGCCCACGGGCCCGCCGCTCACCACACGCACCGGAAGCGCTCGGTACTGCCGGAGGCCGTCCGGTCTGCGCTCCGCACCCTAGGTGCGTTCCACTGGTTCCGGGGCCTCCAACCAATCATCCGCGGCCTCCGCCCCGCCCCCACGCGAACAGCCAATGATGGGGTAGCCGGGCCGGAAGTTGTTCCGGACGGAGGGAGTTTCCACGGACGCCCAGGAGGCCGCCCGTAGCTGAGCCGGCGGCGCTGAGGGGCCCGGCGGGGCCGGTAAGTGAGGGGATGAGGGAGGGCGGGAGGCCGGGGCGGCGCCGGATGACCTGGCTCTTCCGCCGCCGCCTCCAGGCGAGGGCCCGGAGTATCCTCCTCAGAGCCCGGCTCGCTGCCCGCCGGGTCCTGGCACCACGAGGGGCGTGGAGGCTGTCACGGCGCCCCTCGCCCCCTTCCTCCGAGCGCCCGCGTCCCCGTCTGTCGCCCACTCCCGCCGGCACCGACCCTTCCTCGTCCCCGCCCTCTTCCCCTCCCCCCAGGCGAGAGGCCCCCACCTTGAACGAGTGTGTGCCACGTGCTGGGGGCTTTGCCTCTAGTTTCGCACTCGGTCCCCTCCGCGGTAAAGTTAGGAGGTTTCTTTATGCCCATTTCACAGATGAGGAACCTGAGGAGGAAGCAGAGAGGTAATGGCCCTTGCCCAAGGTCTTGACACGAGAAAATGCCCAAGCTGGCATTGAAAGCTAGGTCCGTCCGACCCCAGGACGCCTGCTCCTTCCCCTGCATTGCGCTGCGGGGAATTCACAGTCGCCTTTCTGCCTTCCCACGACCACCCATGAACAGAGGGTGGGGAACGGGAAGAGGGCGGAGAGCTTACGCGGAGGCCAGTCTGGGGTACGGGGTGGCTGATGCAACGACCGGCTAACGGCTCGGTCTCCACCCGTACCCCCCACCCCCAGCCCTGATTGGACAGCCTCACCAAGGAGGCTGGTCAAGAATCTCAAAGTGTTTCTGAGAAACTAAGTAATTTAGAAAAAACCCCTACGTGCAGATAGCTGAAGAGTAGGGTAAACAGGAAAAAGGGGAGAAGACCTTTTTGTAAAACAGAAACTGAAAGAAACAGGGGAAGACTATAAAAGAAGACCTCTGGCTGCTCGGGGCAGTCTCAGCCACCCAGCTGCCCAGCGTGACCAGTGGCCACGTCTGCCGTGCCTCCCACATCCTGGGTATGTATTACCATCTTCACAAGGCCTGGAGCTCATTGGAGTTTTCGCCAGCCTTTGACCAAAGCGCCGAAAACCTTGGTTTGGGGGGCAAGGGGTTGTGTCTCAGAATTAGGCTATCCTGCATTGTATTGCATCCCGCTGACCCGAAGCTCAGGTGATTCACAGCTTCCAAAGGGAACGGAGATACTCGGTGAGCAGTTGCCTGTTTGGCCTTACAGCTCGTCTTGCAGCACCTCCGCATCGGCCCTCACGCGCGGTTTTCACTGATGAGGCCTCCTTATGTGCTCAGCATCCTCACGTGTTAGCTTTCTCGTTGTCATACGCAAGAGTATCTTATGCCTGGCTTCATAGAAATTCATGTCTTTTTCGCCTTTTAAGGTAACATGCATTTTGTTATTTGAAGGGAAAAATAACCTTTCTTTTCAGTGTTTAACAAAGAGAAGGTGGACATAACCTGTCCCAAGGTTTGAAGTGTTAAAGGACTGCTTGCTCCACAGAGGTCGTTTTCTTGTCCTCTGGGGACTTGACCATCCAAAGATGTTGTCACACACACTCTGGGGCCTGGGCGTGAGAGATGGTATCCCACCTCCTGGTGGTACTCCAGGCATCCAGAAACAGTGCTCTTCCCGGCTGCTCTAGGATTGGCTGTTTATGCCCCCTTTCCCCAAATCGTAGACCAGTGTATTCTGATCTGTGAGATGATTTCAGGATGGCCCAAGTCACTGTCATGTTCTGGTAAAGGGTTCTATAATTCTTTCTCTTCCCCATCCCAAAACCACCCAGTTTCTTCAAGTACCTGTTATGCTTTTCCAGAACAATGAAACGTTTCAAAATGAGCACAAGATTCAAGATCTTTAAAAACAGGAATTGAGAATTAATTTTTAAGAGCCTTTTAGCTTTCTCTTTAAAGGTGCATTAGGATCTGCCACGGACTATGAAGTTTTGCTCTAACTCCCAATACTTTTTTCAGAGGAGATGATAGTTAACTCCATAGATTACAGCTTTGTTTCTTTGTTTTAGGTTTTCTATTTGTTAAATAGATAAAACAACTCTCCTAACAAAGATTCAAAGCTCTATTTGCCCTTTATGCGGTAAACACTAAGACAGTCGTCCACAGAGTTTTGGCATCTCAGACCCCTTTGGAAAAGTAACCTGGATATTCTGCTTAGAACCATGTACATACCAGTGTGTATGCAGACTGTTGATGTCATTTCAGACATGCTGAACTCTGGGTTAAAAACTTCTGAAGTTAAATTTCATTCTAAAAGTTAAAGAAATGAAGGAGCATGTCGACTACACGCAAGGAAAAAGAGCAGACACACGAAATGGGGGTAAATGGATGGGTGTGTGAACTAAGAGATTCTGTTACGTTTTCCTGTCTTTTTTTTTTTTTTTAAGATTTTATTTATTTATTTGACGGAGAGACACAGCGAGAGAGGGAACAGAAGCAGGGGGAAGGGGAAAGGGAGAAGCAGTCTCCCCCTGAGCAGGGAGGCCGACGCAGGGCTTGATCCCAGGACGCCGAGATCATGACCCAAGCTGAAGGCAGATGCTTAACCATCTGAGCCACCCAGGCGCCCCTGTTTTCTTGTCTTTCAAGAGGTTGCATCACACACACATACACACACAAACACAAAATTTATCATGTGGGTGGTTCCCATGCAATGTTTGCCTCATGATCATGAGAGTGGGGAGACCTTACCTGCTGTTCCCTCATCAGATTTAGCTCCCATGTGCTTTCAACAGAATTCTGCTTTGGGAAAACGTATTTTTCCCTACAACATGGACCCTAGGTGCAGGCCCCATTCGTCTAGCTGGTCCTCTACAGTTACCGGCTCCACTGCAGGGGGAGATTATCTGTCCAGGGCATACCCAGTTATTCTACCTGGTCCTTTCTTTAAAAAATTTTTAAGGCTAATGCTTTTGGTCCTACTCGCAGACTTCAGAACCTTACTGCTGTCACCCATTGCCTTCTATGGCAGATACTACACTTTTAACGACAGGGATAAACCCAAGGGAGTTCCAAAGAGAGTGACCAAGATGGTAGGCAGATGTTAGCAGTGGGTAAAAAAACTAGACTTGGGGTGTGAGACCTGGAGAAAGCACCATGTGGCCAGCCTGGCCCTCCCCAAATCCCAGCAGGCTCAGCACAGTGGCAAGATGCTAAAAATGAGGCTGTGTAAAGTCCACATGGGGGAAATCTACCTTAAACTGGAATAAGCACTTGCAAAGATAACATGAGAGGATATAAACTTTAGGGGGAATATTGAACTGGGTGACTTATGAGATTGATTAATTCAGTAAATGTTGATAAACTGCTGTGTACCAGGCGTTAGAAGCACATAAAAGAGTAAAACCCAGTGTTTGCTTTCATTGTCTGGTGGAGAAGACATGAATAACTAAATGCCACATGAGTGCTGTCATCAAGTTAGTAACAGAATGCCCAGGGACCACCAACGACCCAGCCATCAGCTTGGCCACAGAGGTGCAGGAGCCAGGAAAGGCTGCAGAGAAGAGCTGAGGTCTGAATTAGTAAGATAACCTGCAGTGCTCAAGCAGCAAAGAGAGTATCACATTCCGGGCGGGGGCGGGCGGCAGCTGGAATGCTGAGGGAACACAGGGTTTCGGAGGACTTTAGGGTCGGATCCTGGCTTAGCTCCTCTGGCGGTGGGACCTCAGGGCAGTTCTGACTTACCTGAGCCATTACCCCTCATCTGCTAATGCAGAGCATATACCAAGCCATCCAACTTTGAAGGTTGGACAAATTTGGGGTCGTGTGTAAAGGAGCTGGATGTGATGTCTGATCATTTGTGGCTAGAAGTAATTTTCATCCTTTGATTGTAATTTGATACGGGCCTGAGTGTTTCTCCTCTCCTGTGCTAGTCAGAGGTTCTTCCGCATTCCTTCTTGCAGGCCTTCTTCTTAAACTGTTAGCTTTGTTATCTGAAGCAGTTATTTCACCCAACTTCCCTTTTCTGGGAATTGAGGTGATTCTCAGCCAGAAGGAAAAAGAAACTTTACTGTCTCATCCTGGTTTCAGTATTATGCTCTCATTGATTTATGTGAAGATAAGCCTAGTTAAAATTTACATCCTTCTTAAACATTTAACAAAATAATAAATATAAAATAATACATTTAACAAAATAAATAAACATTTAACAAAATAATAAAAATAAAGTACCCCAGTGTAGCTCACTTGGTGGAACATGCGACTCTTGATCTCAGAGTTCTAAGTTCGAGCCCATGTTGGGGCTAGTGTTTAACTTAAAAAAAAATGACCCCTCAGGTTTGGGGTTTGGGTTCAAAAAGTTAATAGAAAAAATTTAAATAATTAAAGACATAATAGTCACATATTGAACCTCTCCTGTGAGGCCAGTGCTGTGCTGGGCTGGTTATTTACCTGAACCGTCATGCTCCATCCACACAGCAATCCTGCAGGTAGTGTTACTGTCGGCCCCACGTTACAGTTGAGAGGCTGAGACTCCTCACAGTTAAGTAACGTGTAGGACGGTATTCGAGAGAGCGTAAGCTGTAGCTGCCTAAGTTTGTATCCCACCCCTTTCACTTGCGTTATCTCGGGGAAGTTCTGTAACCTGTCTGTGCCTCAGTTTGCTCATCTATGAAATGGAGATAACAGATCTCTCTCACAGGATTGCTGTGAGGCTTCAGTGAACGGATGTGTATAAGGTGTTCAGAAAAATCGCAGGTGTGGAGGTGCTGGGGGTTGGCTGCCCTGGCCCAGCCCATTGTCATTGTCCTCTCGTTCAGGGCCGAGCGGCAAGTTGTAAACGGAGCTGGGGTTCGGCCAAGACCTGGAACCCTGACAAATAATACTCATAATGGATTTATATCTTGCTTTACAGTTTACGGAATGCTGCCTTTTAGTTTTTCCTCATTTCTTCTCATAGCAGCCCTTGAGGTAGCTGAAGAGGTTCCTGATTGTGCCACTCTCTAGATGAGGAAGCTGACACTCAAAAAAGGGCAGTGACTGACCCAAGAGGGAGCTGACTGTGGTCATTCTCTGCACCAGGCAGCATCAGGTGGCCTGTCCTGTGTCCCACCTTCTTCAAGGTTAAAAATAACAACTAATACAAGGTGCAGGTGCACCTTTTTCAAAGGACTGCAGTGAAGTAAGACAGCATGTAGAATGGACAGGCTATATATCCTTCTTTTCCTCATTTGGATCCCAGAACAGATAGGCCCTACCCTCATCCTACATATGATCTTGTCCTTGACCCCAGACCTTGCTTAATCTGAGAACAGAGCAGCTGGCAACCAGACGAAGCCATTTGTTCAGTGACCTGTTGGCTGTGGCTGCAAGGGCGTGGGACTCATCCCCAGTACAATTAAGATAAAGAGTAAATTGCAGTTTGCTGAATGTTTTTAGTTCTGGTGAACTTCAGTTTGTTAAAGCACTTTGGTACTCTGTGCGCAAACAGGCGAGTCCTTCCTGGGTGCTGGGTACTAGGTGAGGCACACTTGGTCTTAGTTGGAGGAGTCCTGCCAGTGGTGAGTCCTAGCAGTTCCTTCAGTCCTCATCGCTGGCATCTCTTCATCCACTTTTCTCCTTTTTCATGGCCCCAAATTTCTGCTTATACTTTTATTAGTGTTATTTTATCCATGCCCTTTATTATAACTCCTCTCCCACCTTTTTGGAAAGACGAAGGACTAGGTAGAGCAGGAAAGGTAAAATAGTTACAGTGGCTCATTAATCAATCTCTCCCTCCTTCCCCATCCCCTTCTCCCCCTTCTCCCCCACAGTTTCAATCTGGACCACGGAGCAAATCTTCCAGCCTCCTAGCCAGCTGTAAACCTAGGTCCCAGAGATGGCAGACATGCCCAATGGTGAGCAGGGGTGTGCCTCCCCGCTGGAGCTGTTCAACAGCATAGCTGCTCAGGGGGAACTTGTGCGGTCCCTCAAAGCTGGAAAGGCATCGAAGGTATGTGATTTTGTTGGGTTCTCTACACGTGCGTCTGGGCCAAGCCTGGGGTCATGTTACCCAGAACAGACTGTTCCCAAGATTCTGTTCCCTCAATAACTGAAGTATTTTGGCTATAACTTTAAATTCATTTTCTCCTTTATTGATGCATGTGATATAAAGAAAAACCACTGGGGAAAAAAATAAAAAATAAAGAAAAGCCACTGAAATCCAGCAGTCGTCTACCTGCCTGTTCCCAGAAATGAACATTTCAGTCCTTTCAGCTGATTCACTCTCAGAATCACACTTTTATATTGCTCCTGTTGATAGTTAAGTTTGGGCCTTTAACTGTGGAAAATGAGGAGTTAACACTTCTGTCAACACTTCCCATCCCTCTGGTGTCCCATGCATGTCACAGTGTCAGCATCGACTGTTCTTCTGACTGCATAAATGCTACAGACAACTGACCCGTGGAGTAGAGTAGGAGTGTTTTTCCTTCCCTGCCCTGGAGTTGATACTTGTCTTGATTCCTTTCTGCTCCGCACTTTTGCATACTAATGGTAGTAGCTCTCCGGCCCTTCGCTGAGTCTCCCCCTGAGGCACTCATATCAGCCAGCCTGCAGTTCTTCTCCATGAGGTCTCTCCCGGCACTCCGCCTGCTCAGACTGCTGCCTCTCACCATCCGCACGGGCACCCTAGGCCCTCCCCTCGCCGCCCTGTTGGGTCTCTGTTTCCCCATCCTGTGTCTCACTCCTCTGTTTACTCTCTTGACAGAGCACATCCTCTAATGGTCTCGGAAAAAATTCGTGCTAAAGAAATAATTTGGGGGATCTTGCATGTCTGAAAGTATCTCTATGTAGTGTTTGATCGATAAGCAAGAAGTGATTTTCTCACAGAATTCAGAAGCCTGGGTCGCTGTGGAGAAGCCAGATGCCATTCCCTTGTTTTTTCTCCAGAAATTTGCAGGAAGGTCTCTTTGTTCCAGTGTTCTGAAATTTCTGGGGATGAGTACATCCTTTCTAACTAGAAACTTATGAGCCTTATGCTGAGAAATTCTTTTGTTTCTGATTTCTTCTCTCCTGTTTTCTCTATTTATAGATTTTTTTTCCCCCTGAAACTGGTCCTCTGCTTTTATTTTTTGACTTGTGCTTTCCATTTTGTTTTCTTCTTGTTGTTCTTTCAGGTATATTTCCTCAACCTCTTATGTTGCTTTGTTTGTTTTTTAGTTTGTTTGTTTTTTTTAAGTAAGCTCCTCACCCCACATGGGGCTCGAGCTCACAGCCCCGAGATCAAGAGTTCATTGGTCTCCCAACTGAGCCAGCCAGGTACCCCTTCCTCAATTCCTAACCCTCTAGTTGTTTTTCATTTATCCTATCATTTTTAATTTCTGTGAGCTCATTTGCTTTCTGAATGTTCCTTTCCTCATTGCACCCCATTCTCGTTTCCTAGGTACAGTAAGTATCCTTTTATCTCTGAGATCTTGATGATGATTTTCCTGATGTTCTCTGTGGGACAGAGAAGCTGGGCTGTGTGGCTATCCCTGACCTTCTGTGCTCCTGGTGCTTTGCGCCCACCTGCAGAGCGCCCCCAGGCTAGACACTTGTAACTTGACCTCCCTGGCACAGGACCTCTGCCTGGAGAGGGGGGCGGGGGCGGAGAGCCAAGCAGCTGCTTTTTAAATGGACTTTCTACCCGTCTTCCTGTTTCATAGCCAACATTCACCCTCACTTCCATGGATGCCCCAGCCCTGGGACTCCCCAGCTGCTTAATTCCAGTGTTTTCACGACATCCTTACCTTTGTTGTACTCGGTCCATGGCCAGTCATCTAGCAACTCTGCAGCTTCCGAAATCTTGTTGCCGGGGTCCTCTTTTCGTCGCCTTTGTCCTCGGGGGGGTTGTGCCTTTCTGAAAGGTCTCTCTGCTATTGCTGCGGGATGTTTCAAAAGTGTAATCCTTGCATCTGTATCTTTAATGCATATGAGCGCTGCCTTTCATTCTGCGATGCCTCCACCCTTAGGTCACTCAGCTGCCTCTTCACCATCACTTCCTCGTCCATCACTTCCAACCCCTGTTGTTTCCTTTTCAGAAGCCCCCCGGGTCCTCCCCAGATGGAGATCAACCATCTCCCACCCATCCTGGCAGTTTACTTTCTTTGGACCCCCAAATAAGCCATTACACATTAAATAGTACTGAAAGAAAGTGATGTCCCAAAAAAGGAGTTGGTTAATCACAAGAAGAGGTTTACACACCAGATAGGACTCAGTGGATGAAACTAAGTTGTTTTTTTAAAAATCTGAAGTAAATAAAGGAGCCAATGTTATTTGCTCTTTAAACCCATTTTTGGAAACTTGACAGTGGTATCTGTGTCAATGTAACATTTAAGTTTGAATAACATTTAATAAGTGTTTTTAGTTAGCAATTCTTAGTGATCTCCAGTTCCGTTCATTAGTAAACAAGCAGTACTTCACCCAGTTTAGAATTACTCTTCCAGGTGTGTTCTTTGATTTATGCAATCAGCTGACTCCTAACAAGAGAGATCAGAGGTTGCATGATGAAGTCAGAGTTAAACGATGAAAATTCAGAAGCAAATTTGACCCTGGAATGTGTTCTAACAGAAGCACCTGGTAGTTTAGGAATTCACCTTATGCAAAATACCCGAGCCACTCTGGGAACACCGGTACAGTGAGGGCACCGTAGGCTCTTTGTCCAGCTGTCTCGGCCGTGGTCCTCAGCGTTCTTTTCTGCTCCATGTACTAAGGGAATAAGACCCCCTGCTTTCAGTAACAGCTCACTAAAAAGCAGGGTGTCTCCTGGGGTCAGAATCTAGGGGCTCTGAGGAGAGACAGTGGTGAAGGGCATGAGCAGTTTGGGCAGGACTCAAGAAATGACACTGGATCACAGAGGTTAAGACAAAGCAAAGTCTTTTTTCTTTTTAGTTTACGTAAACTTTTTTTTTTAAGATTTTATTTATTTGAGACAGAACGAGCCTGAGAGAGGGAGATCATGGGCAGGGAGGAGGGGTAGAGGGAGAAGCAGACTCCCGCTGAGCAGGGAGCCCGATGCAGGACTCGATCCCGGGACCCTGGGATCGTGACCTGAGCCGAAGGCAGACGCTTAACTGACTGAGCCACCCCGGCGCCCAAGGTAAACTGTTTAAATTGAAGTGCACCATTTATTCAGAAAGATAGGGAGCTCATAATCAGCTTACTGTACTTTCACAAAATGACTACACCTGTGTAACCAGTGTCCAAATCGAGAAACAAGATGGCAGCACCCGGAAGCCATCCTCAGACACCTTCAGTCACTGCCTCTGCCCTTCACCCTATGTCTCCACCATAGATAGCTCTCCCTGTTTTGGAACTTTAGATAAAATCAGGTTGTACATAGTCTTTTTTTGTTTTTTCCTCCCCTGAGAACGTCACCTTTTAAATCCTGTTTCAGTGTGCTGGTCCATGTTAGATTGAGAACAAGAAAATAGACAAGGCAAGCTTGCCTGTCCATTTAAATCTCATTCTAGACTACACACAGTTCTCGAGCAGGGGCACTGGTTAAATGTTTGACTTTCAAAGAGCCTCCTAGTTGCAAGCAGAGTTAGACCAGATAGAGTATGAAATGTCAACATAGCCAGTGATAAAAGGGTATTGACTAAAGTGTACTTCAAAGCAGGGTAATTGTTTCCATGGATAATTCAACAAATCATGCTTGCTAAACATTTATTTTGTTGCACTGAGCTTAGGCACTGCAGGAATTAGATGAGTAAAACACACTTACCTATCCCACCTGGGCAAATATCCTATCTCTTATAGGAGGTATATCCACAGAGTTATTGAGCCCACAATTCTAATTCATTGTAATAACAAAATCCAGGTAGTTTCAGAGTGTGAAACACAAATCTGTGTCTGCAGAAGCACCCCACGGTGACAGTTCCCTGTGGCTCAGGGGCCATACCTGACACAGCAGTTCCCTCCGAATGGAGGTTGGTGATGTGTCTCTCCACTTAGGAAGCCCACTTCGTAGAACGTGATGTGTATACTCTAGACGGGAATGTTTGTACTTCCTTTGGCAAGCAAATTGGCCTGTGTATATTCTTTGTTTGTGATCTGATCCAGCAAGGCCAATTACAGGAGCAGAGCTTTGTGGTATAGCATGACTAATCTGCCTAATGAGGCCTGCTCTTCCAGAGGCCAGCCTTCAGGGATGGCTCGTGTGGGCTTCTGGAGCAGGAGGTCTCTCTACCAGATTTCCAGAGTACCCAAGGATATATTTTTACATTTGTTTTTCTTATGCTTATTTTTAAACACTCAGTATGCAAACACTTTGGACAGCTTGATAAGACTCCAAAATACAGTAATACCACTATTTCCCACTGCATCCCTCCTTAATTTAGGACTTGAAAGCCTGTGTTTTTCCTTGCCTTTATCTGCTTCCCTGATGTCTAGAGTTGCTGTTACTGTCCTCAGTGGCATTATTTAAGCTTCCACAAATACTCATCTCAACTGTGAAGAACGTAAAAACAAGGTCCAACATAGAATTGCTTATACTCAGTTCAGGGAGCTTGTCACACACGTTCTCTGGCATCAGTAGCATTTGAGAAATCTTCAGCACGTTCACTGTGTCATAAATAACAGTGTGTATCATGTCCATTTGTTCCATAGTGTTTGTGGTAGTAATCCATAAGACTAGAACAGCATAATAAATAAAAGACATTCAGGCCCACGACTTGCTATGCGTCATGGGCAAGCTCCTTCGCCTCTGAGTCTCAGAGTCTTCAGCTGGAACAGCACAGTGACAGTGGTGCCTGCCTCCAAGGGGTGTTGTGAGGCTAAGGAAGGAACGTGTGTGAGGGCATTTAGCACGGTGCCTGCCACGTGTCAGCAGTCACATTCAGCAAAACGTTAGCTACGGTGGTATTTTTAGCCTTCATCCTCATTTCCTTCGTCCAGGATGAAATCGATTCTGCAGTAAAGATGTTATTATCATTGAAAATGAGCTACAAAGCCGCTGTGGGGGAGGACTACAAGGCCGACTGCCCTCCAGGGAACCCGGCACTTGGGAGCAACAGTGGCCTGGATGCCGCAGAAGCTGAGGAGGATTTTGTGGACCCGTGGACAGTACAGACGAGCAGTGCCAAGGGCATCGACTATGACAAGCTCATTGGTATGTCCTGGGAGAAGCCCCACCTTACACAAGTGATTCCCTTGAGTTGATCCCATTGGTGTTTATTTTATTTTGAATTATAAACCCAGTCAAACTTCAATGCCAAGAAAAAAAAATAGATCCTAAAATTTTTTGGTCATGCAATACATTCCCAAAGGATTCTTTTTAACTAGAATAATGATGTAAAACTTATTTCGAAATAACGATCTATAGTAGATAGCTTAGTAGAAGCTTTTTCCCTTTTTTTGAGCAATTCAGAACTTGAGGAAAGGTCTGTTAGAGTGGCATCTTTGCAGTCATTTAAATCACCTCTCACTTAATGGTTAAAGTCAAGAATGGATTACCTAAGAGATTGTAGTGATAGTGATTGTAGAGCTAAAAAGCTAGAAGTCACCTTAAGAAGGATGACTCCTCACAGGGGGCAGGTGGCCACTGGCAAGCCCCTCCTCATGGGGCTTCCTGTTCAGGGAATCCTTACTCTGAGATCACTGGTAATCACCAGTGAAGAGGCATTGCTGAAATGTTTTTATCAAAGTCAAAAGCCATTTTCCATAATTTAAGTATAGACCATCACTGAGGGAAAATTTGTTTGAAGATATGTTAATTCAATGCAGCAGTTAAAGAATATTAAAATTACAGTGTCATTGTGCACAGATCATACCTTAATAAGCAACTGGGGGAGGGGAGGTGTGAAAAGTTGCTAGCCAGCCTGAATTCTGGATATGTTTCCAGTCAGAATCCAGTCCCAGACAAAACAGTGTTTTATTCTGTAATTAGTTTCCTGTTTGCTGGTTGTGATCTCAACTGTCCTTGTGAAAGAAGTATGACTTTGGGTTGAGAGAAGGGACTGGGAGCAGAGGCCTAAAGAGTCTGGGTTCGTTAAGAGTGTACACAATACACTAGTCTTTCCCCTTCAGTAATATCTGGTCGCCGAACCTCACACCACCTAAGGTGGCCATATCTCCTTTGTTCCAATTTTTTTTTTCCCAGTTCGGTTCGGAAGCAGTAAAATCGACAAGGAGCTGGTAAACCGGATAGAGAGAGCCACGGGCCAGAAACCACACCGCTTCCTGCGCAGAGGCATCTTCTTCTCACACAGGTCAGAGGCTTCCTGCCCTCCTCTCCTTTGAATTCCAGACATGATTAGGACACTCTTCCCTCAAGCTGCCTGCTCCTGGGGGGACAGTGCTAGCCAATCATCTGAAGACTGGCGTCCACCTTCTGTCCATAACTGGTTGTGGGTTCATGCCCTGTCCCTTCACCCACGGCCTTTACTTTATTCATTTATGAACTGTTCACTTCACAAAGTGGAGGTCCCATCCACAGCAGATGAGATTCATGCCAGATTATGTGCTATAAATCATAAAATGTCATAAAGACAAAAGAGATGAATATGTCCAAGTTTAACATTTCCCACGCGATAAGCAGTGGCTTCCTGAAGTTCTTTGCCCTGTTCCTGCTATTGTCCTGGCCCGCTCATAAATCCTATCATCAGAAGAGAAACTAACAGAGTGTACCTGGAAGAAACTATCCCTACCCTAGACTATAAATTCCATGCAGATAATAATCAGAAAACGGGCAGGTTCCAAAAGTGTTCTCGCCTCACCCACCCCACCATTTAGCCCATTATATGGTCCATGGTAGGGTTGTTCTGTTCTGCTTGCTCTGCACGGTTACGGGAGAGCACACACAGGACAGAACTCGGCAGCCTGCCAAAACACTTCAAATTCCGTGTACAGAAAACTCCAGACCCTGCTCAGCCCTCTTTCTGGACAGAATATAGTCAAAGTTTTTTATCTTGATTAAGATTTAATTTACGTTTTTAAAGTATACAATTCACATTTTTTAGGTGGTCTTTAATATGTTCATATGGTTGTGCAACCATTACCACCACTGTCTAATTCCAGAACACTCACACTACCCCAGGGAGAAACTCCTGTCCCCATGAGCAGTCACTCCCCGATACCCTCTCCACGCACCACCACCACTGGCAACCATCATGTTTTCAAGGTTCCACCGTGTGGTGGCGTGTGTTCGTACTACCCTCCCTTTTATACCTGAATAGTGTTCCAATGAATAGATGGCACCCCACTTTTTGTTTATCCATTCACCAGTTGCTGGGCATTTGGGTTATTTTCACTTTTTGGTTCTCAGTAATGCTGCTCTGAACATTTGTGTACAAGTTTCTGTGTGGACATGTGTTTTCATTTCTCTTGGTGGGAACAGAATTGCTGCATCATAAGGTAGCTCTAGAATTTTCTGAGGAAATGCCAAACAGCTGTCCACGGTGACTGTCATTTTGCATCTCCACCAACAATGCACAGACAAGAAGGGTCCCAGGTCACACCCTCACCAACACTTACTATTTCCTACTTTGTGTTTGTTTTTTATAGCCATTCTAGTAGGTATGACTTGGTTATTCATTGTGTTTTTTAAATTCTTTTTTTTTAATTTTATTTATTTATTTGAGAGAGAGAATGAAAGAGAGAGAGAGAGAGCATGAGAGGGGGAAGGGTCAGAGGGAGAAGCAGACTCCCTGCTGAGCAGGGAGCCCGATGTGGGACTCGATCCCGGGACTCCAGGATCATGACCTGAGCCGAAGGCAGTGGCTTAACCAACTGAGCCACCCAGGCGGCCCCTCATTGTATCTTGATTTATATTTCCCTAAGACTCATGCCATTGAACATCTTTTCAAGTGCTCATTGGTTACTTTTATATATGCTTTATCCCCCCACCTGCCACCCCCCACCTTTTTTTTTTTTTTTTTTTTTTAAGATTTTACTTATTTGAGAGGGAGAGCGAGTGAGTGAGAGGGCACAAGCAGGGGGAGCGAGAAGCAGACTCCCCGCTGAGCAGGGAGCCCAAGGCGGGGCTCAATCCCAGGACCCTGGGACCACGACCCGAGCCGAAGGCAGCCACTCAGCCAACTAGGCCACCCGGGCACCCTGTGCCTGTTTTTTGTTTTTTTTATAGATTTATTTATTATTTGAGAGAGAAAGAGAGAGGGAGAGCAAACAGGTGGAGGGGCAGAGGGAAAGAGAGAGGGGGAGAGAGAATCTCAAGCAAACTCCCTGCTGAGCGTGGAGCCCAATGCAGGGCTCCATCCAGGACCCTCAGGTCATGACCTGAGCTGAAACCAAGAGTCAGACACTTAACTGACTGAGCCACTCAAGGGCAGGGCCCTCCTGCCTATTTTTATATATTCTTTGGTGGAAAATATCTATTCTGATCTTTTGCCTGCTTTTTAATTAAGTTGTTTGTCTTTTGGGGCACCTGGGTGGCTCAGTCGTTAAGCGTCTGCCTTCGACTCAGGTCATGATCCCAGGGTCCTGGGATCGAGCCCCGCATCGGGCTCCCTGCTCAGCGGGAAGCCTGCTTCTCCCTCTCCCACTCCCCCTGCTTGTGTTCCCTCTCTCGCTGTCTTTCTCTGTCAAATAAATAAATAAAATCTTAAAAAAAAAAAAGTTGTTTGTCTTTTCATTATTAAGTTATAATCATTCTTTATATGTTCACCAACCAGAAGCTCTCCAGACCACATCCTTTTGGTGTTTTATGGGGGCTTCATTACATAGGCATGATCATTAGTGATTAAGCTCAATCTCCTTTTGAGGGGATTGGGGCTGATAAGTACCAACCTCTAATTAGGGTTGGTTCCCCTGGCACCAAGTCTCCATCCTTAGGTTACTTAGGGACTTTCTAAAAGTCACCTTATTAACATAAACTCATGTGTGGTTGAAAGGGGCTTTGTTATATGAATGTCACATTTATACCTCTTATCACTTAGGAAATTCCATGGATTTTAGGAGCTCTGTGACAAAGACCAAATATATATTTCTTATTATAAATCACAATTATCTCACTACTCTATAGAAATACAACTGACTTTTGTCTGTTGATCTTATATCCTGCAGCTTTACTTCATTTATTAGCCCTAGTAGGTTTCTTTCTTTTTTTGAAGATTCTATAGAATTTTCTGTATGTAGAATCATGTCACCTAAGAATGAAGATAATTTTAACTCCTTCCTTTCCAATTTGGATTTCTTTTTTCTTGCCTAATTGCTCTGGCTGGAACTTCTAGTACAGCATTGAATAGGAGTGGTAAGAGTGGGCATCCTTGTCTTATTCCTGATCTAGGGGAAAGTCACTCTTCCACCATTAGCTATGGGTTTTCCATAAATGCCCTTCATTATGCTAAGGAAGTTTCCTTTTCTTCTTAGTTCATTGAGTATTTTGAGTATTTTTATCATGAAAGGTGTTGGATTTTGTCATAATCCTTTTCTTCATCTGTTGAGAGAATCATGTGGTTTTTGTCTTCTATTAATTTAATACCGTATGTCACATTGATGCATTTTTGTACGTTGAACCAACTTTGCATGCCTGGGACAAATCCCACTTGATCATGGTGTATCATCCTTTTTATATGTTGCTGGATTTGGTCTGTGAGTTGGCTGAGGATGTTTGTGTCTGTATTCATAAGGGTCTCTAGTTTTCTGTTGATGTCTTTGCTTGGGGTGTCAGGATAATCCTGGCCTCGGAATGCGTTTGCAATATTCCCTCTTCAATTTTTTTGGAAGGGTTTGTGAAGGGTTGTTAAAAAAAATTTTTTTTAAGATTATCCGTTACTTTTGGAGATGGAGAGAGCACGAGCCGGGGGGAGGAGCAGAGAGAGCGGGACAAGCAGATTCCCCGCTGAGCCTGACGAGGGACCCAACCCCAGGATCCCAAGGTCATGACCTGAGCCGGAATCAAGTCAGATGCTTAACCTCCTGTGCCACCCAGGCACCCCTGTTAATTGTTTTCTAATAATTGATAGAATTTGTCATGAAGCCATCTGGTTCCAGGCTTTTCTTTGTGGGTCATTTTTTGAATACCCCTTCAATTTCTTTGCTTGTTATAGATCCATTCAGATTTTCTGTTTCTTTTGGAGTGGGTTTGCTAGTTGTTTCTCTCCAGGAATTGGTCTTTTTCATCAAGGTTATCTAATACGCGGGCATATACTTGTTCGTAGTATTCCTTTGTAATCCTTTTTATCCCTGTAAAATCAGTAGTAATGTTCCTTTTTTCATTCTTGACTTTGGTAGAGTCTTCACTGTTTTTTTCCCTCTTGGTCACTTTAGCTCAAGTTTACCAATTTTGTTGATCTTAAATCAAAACTTTTTATCTTGGGGCGCCTGGATGACTCAGTTAAGCATCTGCCTTCGGCTCAGGTCATGTTCTCAGGGTCCTGGGATCCAGCCCCGCATCGGGCTCCCTGCTCCGCGGGGAATTTGCTTATCCCTCTCCCTCTGCCCCTACCCCTGCTCCATCTGTCTCACTCTCTCTTTCTCAAATACATAAAATCTTTAAAAAAAAAAAATGTTTTTTTATCTTAGCACTTTGCAGTTCTTGTTGCCCATGTGCCTTACTTTATTTACTTCAGTATAGTAACCCTGTAGGCTCTTGGCTTAGGGCGTCATAGGACTTGCAGCTTTTGGCCATTCTCAGATTTGAGAATGCCCCCCTGTCTAATTTTATCGTCTGTAGAGTAGGGAATTAGATGGGCTTTGAGTAGGCTCCCTCACCTGCTGGAAACCATCCTCACAAAGCTGAGCTCAGAGAGCGAGCCTCAGTCCATTCCCTGCACTGCTTGAGAGCACCTTGCCCCCAGGGCAGCGCATGGTGGGGCTCCCAGAGACTTGAAGAACAGCTCGTGGGACAGCTGCATTTTTTTCTTTCCTATAAACCCGTAAAAGTTTGATTTGGTTAATTCTGAGAACCAAAGAAGGGCTTTTTTCTTCCAAAATTAAGTTTTTTTTTTTTTATTCTTTCCTTATTTCAATAGCAGTGTATGATTGATCCCTGGAGGTTAAAAAAAAAAAAAAAAAAACTCAACGCAAAGAAACAATTCCCATAATCCCATGAGCCCAGAGGGGAGCACTTTTAGCCCTTGGTGTGGGGTATGAGGAGGAGTCCCTTTTTAGAATACTTGTGTGGGGTCTCCTACCAAGACCCCTGGAAAAGGGCCTCTTTTACTTTGGGACACTTTGTGGAGAAACAAAGAACATTTACACCCTAGAGTAGTGGTTTCACACCCTGGCGAACATTGCGGTCACTGAGGGAGCTTTTTAAAAATACAGATTCCCAGACATCACCCCAGACCCACTGAATCAGAGTCTGTGAAGGTGGGACCCAGGTAGATGGAATATGACCAGGCAATTCTGATACACAGCCAGGAAGGAGAACCCTTCATGTGCATCGTCCGTGGACCCCAGTCCTTGGGGAAGGCGGATGAGTCCGGAATGACTCCCAGCTGAAGACACTTGGTCCCAGCCCGGCTGAGGAAGCCCAAATGAGATTTTCAACTAGGGACTTCCCCTCCACACTCCCAGGAGGTCTTCCTCACTCCCGTCCCTGAGTCAGGACTGTGTGGAACCCTGCAGTCTCCCCAATCTGAGTCTCCAGAGTCTCGGGGCTGGGGGTTCTGACCAAGGGTTGTGTAGTGTTGGCTTGGTGTCATTCCCAGGAAAGGTGTAAAGCAGGTGGTGTGTGGACGTTGGTATTTGAAGTTTCCTAAGGGGTTCCATTGGCTGCCCAGCTGTATCCCTCTTTTATTCCAGACCTGCGTGTCTTATACTTTTAAAACAATTACAGGAGAAAGAAATCATGTCAGTAGAAGTTTCCTGTCGCTTTTCTCATGGGCACGAAGGGTAACAAACTCTAATCATTGTGTTGTGTTTTCTCTGTCTTCTCCAGGTGAGCAGTAGCGCCTTAGTGTTTGTCTCAGAAAATCACACCATTTCCTTTTCTCCTTTCTCCTTTAGAGATATGAACCAAATTCTTGATGCCTATGAAAATAAGAAGCCATTTTATCTATATACGGGCAGGGGCCCCTCTTCCGAAGCAATGCATGTAGGTCACCTCATCCCATTTATTTTCACAAAGTAAGTACTGAATCGTATGCCTTTTCTCCCTTTTATTAGCGAATCAGGAATGTTGCTTATAAACCATGTCAGAATGACAGGACAGTCCTAGTTTGTGTTTGTTAAACAACGTGTGAGGGGACTGGTGCCGTTGTGGCTTCTGTTCAGTCTGTTCCCAGTGTCACGTTACAAAGTGTGGCGTGATGGAGCGAGCCCAGCTTTGGAGTCAGCCAGCCCGTTTCCTCCGGTCCCTCTCCCCGTGACCGTAGCAGTCCCTCCCTGAGCCTTCGTTTACACGTCCTCTAAAACGATCACCAGCCTGCAAAATAGCAGCTCCACAGCATAAGGCTGTGTAACTGTGTAGACAAGAAAGGTTTGACATACACTCTCAGTAGGAACAGTGTGTTCGGATGCAGAACGGGGGATGGGATGGCAGCCTTCTTCCCATGCGTCTCCTAGGTGGCTGCAGGATGTATTCAACGTGCCGTTGGTCATCCAGATGACGGATGATGAGAAGTACCTGTGGAAAGACCTGACCCTGGACCAGGCCTACGGCTATGCCGTGGAAAACGCCAAGGACATCATTGCCTGCGGCTTTGACATCAACAAGACTTTCATCTTCTCTGACCTCGACTACATGGGGTAAGGAGAGGGTGCCCGGCTGCCTTCTAGAGAAGCAGATGGAGACAGCAGCTCCTCTCGGTCATGGCCAAGTTGGACACATCTAAAGTGGCCTTAAGATCTGGGGAATGTTTTCCTTCTTTTATGAAACGTCAGGATATGGTTTCTTGGTCTCGCTCACCAGCTGAGGCTTCCATCCCCAGCTTGAGACAGAATTGTAGTTTCTCTCCAAGGACACTTTGCCGGGTTAGGGTCTTTCTCTTTCTTGGTGTGCCTTTTTCCTCGAAGAGAAAAGACTCGTACACGGTCCCCTCATGGTCCAGTTCTTTCAGAAAAACTGCATGTGGAAAATCCTTGTATTGAAACTCTTTTTTCCAGATTTTATTTATTTGTCAGAGAGAGAAATAGTGAGCATAAGCAGGGGGGGAATGGCAGGCACAGGGAGAAGCAGGCTTCCCACTGAGCAGGGAGCCCGATGCGGACTCGATCCCAGGACCCTGAGATCATGACCAGAGCCGAAGGCAGACACTTAACCAACTGAGCCACCCAGGTGCCCCTGAATTGAAACTTCTGAGGTCTTCTTCATCCCAAATGACTACCAAGAACTGGGTTAGAAAAATAAGACTCTGTCAAGTGTCCCAGTAAGAAATACTCAGCAAGCACTTCCTGAGCACCTGAGATGCAGTGCTCCCCCCAAGGCACTGGCAGTCCCCAAGGAATGGAAGGGGTGTGGCCCCTGTCCCTGAGGGCTCGTTATATTAGCCCAGGACAGGATGTGGTAGAAGCACAGGATGGACTGTGTTCACACTGAGTGCAGAGATGCTTGCTTATTACCATTTCCCCAGAATGTCCCCTTAGAGGACTGCCTCCGAGTGGTGACTTTATATCCACAGAAATAGTTGCCTTGATAAGAAGTCTGGCTTTTCTCCCAACTAGTAAATGAATTCATAACTTTCTGATTTTACCTATGAGATTTTTAAAATCACTTCTCTGTGGGCATAGAGGCATTGTGGTGTCCTTGAGGAAACAGCTTTGAAGGAAGGAAACAGACCTGGGTTCGAGCCCTGGCACCTCTGTTTAATGGTCATGAGTCTCAGCAAGCCTGGTCCACGAAATAGGGTTACATGAGACTTTAGGTGTCACCATTATTATAATTTTCACAGTGCTTTATTTTATACCTCTTCCCCTCATTCCTTAAAAGGACCTGATTCACCTGCTTGAGCGCTTAGCCACACCCTGCGTCCTGCTGCTCTTCTTAGGGCCAGGCCGGGGTGGCAGCTGCCCAGTCACTGCGTCCTCAGGTGCTGCCTCTTGCCTCCCGTGGCAGCCCCTCACAGGCTCGGTCCCCCACCAGCCAGCACTCTCCGTAAAGCTCTCCTGTCACTCCCCAGCCCGTGCCTCTTCCACTCTGTCATCATCAGGATGAAGTGCTCACTTTCCATTTAGCTCACAGGCCCCTCAGTGATTTGGCCCGTGTTGCTCTCCAGCGTCAGTCACTGCCACCTCCAGCGAGGTGGAACACTCTGCAGTTCCACAGCCCCCAGAGTTCCCGCCCCTCCCCTGACCTTCCTGTCCCAGCGCAGAGGAGTCTGACGCCATCTCCAAACGCACGGGCAAGCATCACCTCTTCCTGGGAGCTGTCCCTCCCGTAGTCTGATTCAGATGTGCCTCCCAGCACCCCAGGCTCCACCTCGGCCGCATCTGGTACGGGGTGAGGGGTGGCCCTGTTCTGCTGGGTCAGTAAAACAAATAGTCACGGAGTGCTCTCCGTGGCTGATGCCCTCCTAGCCCCTGAGAACCCAGCAGTGACCCAAGCGGAGTCCCTGCCTCGCTGGACCGAGGTGCTGGTGGGGCAGAAGCAAACACCTCCTGTGTCCTCAAGGACGAACATGTGGTAGGCACATGAAGGGGGGTGAACTTTTGAACAGTGCACGTGAGGGGGCCACCGCATGCCCCACCCCTCTCGGCGCATTCGGAGAGAACGTGGGGCCCGAGGCGACTTGGCCAGCCTGTCTCTGCTGACCACACTTGGGCGTCCTCCACCTGGCTCAGAGGAACTTCCTTTTTCTTCGTGAACTCGAGGTAGACCTGAAAACCCACACAACGTATAACTCAAAGGGTCTGTGCTGCTGCTTCTCAGAAAGACCTCTTAGGTTGAACCTAAAGTCAGGAGAGAAGTTTTAAAAGTTAAACCCTGTTTTCAAATGTCATATTCCCTTTAAGAGTTTTGTTGTCTTTTAACAAATTGAGCTTTTTTTTTTCCCCCTTAAAATTGAACTCAAAATCCAGAGCTTTGATTTAACAAAGCCCCTTCCTGGTCTTCAGGAGCTGAAACTACAACCAAGCCAGCCTCCACCCTGTCTTTGGGTGGGAGCGAAGCGGCGAGGGCCCTGCGGGGAAAGAAGCCCAATGCAGGCAAGCTGGCTGCAGACACCCTGTCCCCACGTGCATTTCTGGCCCTGCGTGTGGGCCCAGAGAGGCCTTCCTGCCAGGATCCGTGAGGGATGGAAAGACACTGCACTGGGAATCTGAGAGCTGGTGTTCCAGACCCAGCTCTGCTCCTGGTTGGTGTGGTTCCTTTGGGCAAGTCCTTACATTCTCTGAGCCTCTGTTATCCTGTAAGTCGGGGGTTTCGTACTAGTGAGAGGCAGTCTAGCAAAGGGGTCTGTCAGCATGTTCTGCCTGGGTTCACATCCGGACCACCGTTTACTCTGTGATGGGCACCTGGGTTACCTGCTCTCTGCCTGCTTGCTTAGCCCTTTCATTCATGCAGTAGGTATTCCTTGAGCATTCCAGGGAGCACCCGTGTTGGGAGCACTTCACATGTTGCCAGGTTCCTGGTATGTCCTCTCTCTGTAACACGCTCCCCACCCCCACCCCTGACCAGTGCCCTGGGGCCAAAACTCAGCAGACTGCTAAGTGAAAGTCGCTCTCTCCCCCATCCCTCTCCTGCTCCTGAGTGGGACTCTGCTCAACTCGGCACAAACCCTGGTGCGGGGCCTTTGCGGTCCTCCCTGCCTCGTGGCTGCCCCCTACCTAGGCAGCCAGTGCCCCTGCATTTCTCACACCCCACCCTCAGCCCCCGCTGTCTGCCCAGAGACATTCAGGAGTTCTGCATCCAGGGACAGAAGTCTTAAACTCTCAAAAGCTGCGAGATGTGGTCAGAAAAGCATAGGCATTGTGGCCAGAAAAGCATAGGCATTGTGGCCAGACAAGCCCGGGTTTGGATCCCAGCTCGTGTAATCACTGGGATCTGTGACATGACCCTTAACCTCTCAGAGCCTCGGTCTTTACCAGGAAAGGGGAGGTGAGGCTACTACTTTAAAGGGGAGTTGAGCGGTGTTAACCCATGTCCAGCACTAAGCACGGCTCCTGCTACATGACGCGAACACATAGGAAACATTAGCTCTCCCGTTTTTTCCCTTTCTGTCTTTGTGGGGCCTGCTACCTGGTATGGTGGAGAGTAGAGTTGCTGAGCATATTAGAGATGCCATGTAAGAAGTCCCTCTGGGTTCTGCCCCCTCCCTGTAATTGCTTCATCCTCAGCCTCGGTCCCTCTGGTAGCAGAATGACTGCCACAGCTCCAGGCCTCATATCCCCATGCCTCACCATCCAGGAGAGAGCATCGGTTGCTTGAACCAGCCACTGTGGCCCAGTCCTGTTGCTGGGCGTTGGGGTCATCCTGCCCAGATAGCATGGCTGCCGACGGGACGGGGCCGTGGTGGCTGGACGCGTTGGTTTCTCTGCAGACGGTCTCTCACAACACAGAAAAAGCTCCCTCGGGGCTTCCAGGCTGGAAGCTGTGCAGCACACTTGACCGCTGACCCGGGCAGGGTTTCAGGGCTCCGTGTCACCCCCTGACTCTGAACGTGTTGTGTTCTTGCCTCATCTGCCCGTGCTCTGGCACCGGTCTCACACAGCTTCCCACACTTCTCTGGCGGCTCCGCTCAGCCTGCCTTAACTCTCTCTGCCTCCGGACGCCTGTGGGCACTGTGCTGCCCAGTGTGTGTCCTCAGCCCGCACCTGCATGCTCAGGCTTCACCAGCTGCGGCTTCGGCCCCAGCGGGGGGCCGCCCTCTGAACCTGGGGTTTGATTCTGATTGTCTTTGCAGGATGAGCCCAGGCTTCTACAAGAACGTGGTGAAGATTCAGAAGCACGTTACCTTCAACCAAGTGAAAGGCATTTTCGGTTTCACCGACAGTGACTCCATCGGTAAGGAGCTCGCTGCGGCCTCTGGTGGCAGCACCGGCCCCTCGTCTCCCCACCGCGAGCCCACGGGCAGGTCTCCCCAGGAGCCAGAGGAGCTGTGCGATGCCTGTGGCCCCGCTTCTGGGCCTCGGGGCTGCACTTCAGGAGACCGTCTGTCACCTCTCAGTCACCCACTGAGAGGCCGAGAAGAAAGGAGGAGCAGGGTGGGGATGACTGAGTGCCCTGCCCGTGTGGGCCCCTCTCGTCGAGGCCAGGAGCCTCCGCTTCCCCCGGCGGAGGAACGGGCTTGCCCGGAGGCCCCGTGGAGCCCACCCTGCCCACCCTCACTGTGCTTCCGTGGCTCAGCCCCCTGCACTCGTACTCGTGCCCCTTTCCACACACGTCCGTGCCCGTCAGATGCGTCGGCCTTCTCCTTCTAGACCCTTAGCTCCTGAAGCTAAGAATTGATCCCTGAGACTTGTGGGTCTCCTGATCCCCTCCCCTACTTTGCTTCTGGGGCACGGCTCCAGGCCGAGCAGCCGCGAGCCCGGGCCAGCATCCCGGGGTGTGCCTGCAGGTGCCACGTGGGGAGTTTGTCCTGCTGGGAGGGGGCCCTGGCGGTGAGGGGACCTTCAGGGACAAGTGCAGAAACGCCATGGAGAGGCCTCACTGGGAGGCTTTTCACACGAGCAAGACCCTTTTCTTTGATGTTTTGGTCAGATGCATCCCTGACAATTGGGGCATAAACCCTGTGCTTTTGAAAGGGTATTTATCCTCGGAATGCCAGCATCTCATGGGAAGATGTCCCAGGGAAGGCGGCACTGGGCGAGTAAGAGACAGTAGACCTCCGACTAGCTGTGCACACTGCTGCCAAGCGCCCGGGTTTGAATCCTGGCCCGGCCAGCTGCTTGCTGGGTATTAGCTTCGGCGGGCTCTGCCGACGGTTTGAGCCTGCCAGTGCAAGTTGTTGAGATGGGGGCTATGTGGCACTGTTAGGTCGAGTTGTGAGCAGTAGATGAGCCCGGGGAAGGCCCCGAGCACAGCCCGGCGCCCGCAGGCAGGGAATGGCCCCCCCTGCCGTGTGTGGGTGTGGGTGTGGGTGTGTGTGTACACGTACCCGGCGCTGGTGGTGGCGGCAGCGCGAGTGACCCCACACGGCACAGCTGGCAGGGGCTGGCCCAGAGCGCTTGTCGGAGGTCACACAAGGTCAGGCCCTTGGACCCCTTGTGTGGGTCTAAGCAAATAGCAGTAGCAGTGTTAACAGCAACATCCAAAGTATTGAAAGCAGTTTTAGGTACCAGGGTGTCATAACCTGTAATGATTAAAGGTGAGGGACAGTCCATGTGCCCATGGGTAGACTGGCTAAACACTCCCCAACATGCTTACGGGACAACATACTTAACAACCACCCAAGTGAGGGAAAAGGTAAGGAGAAAAACTGGGTAGTGTGCAGTCACCACAGAAATGCGGCGGGAAATTGAGAAAACACGAAAAGAGACACACACTGAGACTGTAGATTTGTCTCTCCTCCCTACTCTTCTGTGGTTTCAGATTCTTTTGAGTGGTGATCCCGTCTCTAAAGGGGAGAATGCTTGTTCATGTTCATCCCTTTTGCTGGCTGAATTAACCAGAACAGCAGTCGATGTCATGTGTAAAAATATATTGTTTACACTTTCAGGGAAGATCAGCTTTCCTGCCATCCAGGCTGCCCCCTCCTTCAGCAACTCATTCCCTCAGATCTTCCGAGACAGGGCAGACATCCAGTGCCTCATCCCCTGTGCCATCGACCAGGTCAGGAGGCAGAGCGAGGCGTTTATCGGTCTGGGGCACTGCACTCTGATGGGAAAGGAGGTTTTAAGAGGTGTTGGGCCGGGGCAATCCTGTAAGCTACTTGGGAGCTGGGAGCATCCCATGGAGGCCGCGGAGGTGTTGTTCACCGGCTGACAGCCAGCCCATTTCTGCCAGCTTCCTCAGAGGCCCCTCTCGCCCCACAGGATCCTTACTTCAGGATGACGAGAGACGTCGCCCCCAGGATTGGCTACCCTAAGCCAGCCCTGCTGCACTCCACTTTCTTCCCCGCCCTGCAGGGGGCCCAGACCAAGATGAGCGCCAGCGACCCCAACTCCTCCATCTTCCTCACGGACACCGCCAAGCAGATCAAGACCAAGGTGAGCACCGTCCGGGGCGGAGGGGCAGCCTGTGCACACAGAGCAGACGCGCCTGAGACACACACACACACGCACACTGACACTCGCAGGCACGCACACGCATGGCAAGACTGTCCTTCTGGCGTCCTCCGCCACAACGCTGGGTTCCAGGGTCAGTAACTGTTGCTGCCTGCAACCTCAAGGCGGCCTGTCCCTGTTCCCGACACCAAATGAACTTGATTTGTCTGTGCCCTTTTATTTAGGCAAAACTTTGAATATTTCTTCTCTTTTTTTCTTCTCTGCTTTTCTCACCAGTGCTCTGCTCTGGAAGCAAAGTCATGGCAGTTTTCTTTTTTTTCTTTTTTAAGATTTTGTCTGTTTATTTGAAAGAGAGTGAGAGCGAGAGAGAGAGCATGAGTGGAAGAAGGGGCGGGGGAGAGGGAGAAGCAGACTCCCTGCTGAGCAGGAGCCTGACGCTCGGGGCTCAATCCCAGGACCCTGAGATCATGACCTGAGCTGAAGGCAGACGCTCAACTGACTGAGCCACCCAGGCGCCCCATGCGGTTTTCTTTAAAGTAAATGATAGAACATATTGTAGTACATTTCCAAGCAGCAGCCGTAGTCCAGCAGATGGACCAGGTGCTTTATGTTTTCTGGCTTTATTTCTCACGGGGAGATAGTGGTGAGTACCTTTAGAGGGATGACAGCCAGAGAGGATGACTGTCTTGGCCAAGGTGGGGCTTAGGGGCCGCACGTTCTCATGGAGACTGGGAACGGGTGGGGGCCCTTCAACAGGACAGTCATGTCCGTCCAAGCATGCAACGGGCATCAGCAAATATTTTTCAAGTCCTCAAAGAAATGAGAATTAGGAATCTGTTTGAGCTTTTTTCTTTCCCAGGGCCCTGCTTCTCTTTCTCTGGGCTGAACTGCCAGTATAGGTGCAACCCCTCACTGTCCCACGAAGCTGTTGACATTTTATTTGGAATCCAGTGTGTGTTTGCAGGTGGGAAGTTTACAGCAGGAGTGACCAGATCCGTATCTGAGGCGTGTAATGCAACCCTCTGAGTCACTGCTGGCCCCCAGCCCTTCCGAACTCCCTAGCGGGTTCTGGTTAACAATGGGGAAACCCTTAATGTCCAAACCCTCTTCCAGGAAATAGCCACCGCCAACTCTACCACTCTCTGTTGGAAGCTGGTACATTCAGGGCTTTCTCTTGACCTTTCAGTACTGGCTGAAAGTTCTAAAGCATGGAATACGGAAGTGGGAGGGAGGGTCCTCTTCTCTCCAGAAGAGAAGGCATTTTGTTTGGTTTTTTAGTTGTTTTAGTGCATTTAGTACATCGTTTTAAAGAAGTCATTTTTGGGTCCAAGGCATTTTTCATTCACTTAGGGACCAGCAAAGGCCCTGAGGGCTGGGCTGGCCGTGAGCATGAGGTCAGGAAGCACACAGCCACAGAGGCCCTGAGGGTTGTGAGCGCCCTGTGGGGCAGGACAAGTTCAGGCCAGGCTGTCGTTCTCGGTCCCCACACCCACCTTCCATTCCAGAATCCACCTCCACTCCAGCCAGGGGCGGGGATCTGCTCCAGCGCTCCTGAGAATAGCAGTAGCCGTGCCACGTGCTCACCTGTGTGATCTCACTGAGTCCTACCAACCACCCGGGAGGCCATGTTCATCTTGTAGGCAAGGAAGTCCAGACTCAGAGGGGCCAGGCAGCTTCCTACGTCCACACAGCTGGGGAGTGGTGGGGTTGGGACTGGAACCCAGCTCCCTCGTTGCACGGGCCCTCCCGTGGCCTAGAGTCGGGAACCCCAGGTTGTCCGTGTCCTGCCACTTCACTGCCATTGGCGGGTGACCTTGCTGTCCAGCTGAGACATCTGTGAAGTGGGAGAGCTGTACTGACTTCACAGGCTTGAGACAAGGCTTACGTGGGATCACATGTAAAAAGTGTGAACGGTAAAGTGCAGCCCAGATTTAAGAATTTAGTTCAAAATGAAGAGTTGGTGAGCTCCTTTGCAGGATAGGCCAAAGCAGGCCTTCCCCAGGCTGCTGCCAGAGCCCGCCAGATCAGTCCCTCCTGCAGGCAGCCTTGGAGTGTGGAACCTCCCCTTCTGGGACGAGTGTCTGTAACGCACTTTGCCAGCCTGGCCACCCACCTGTGATTTCTGATCACGAGACCCCTTTAATGTTAACCCTGTAGTGCCCCTGCCCAGAGCTGGCCTCAGGCTCCAGGGCCAAGGGTCAGTGGCCCCACCCAGCCCTGGGCCTGGGGCCTCCCACAGGCCCGCTCACCTGCCCTGCTGGATTGTAGCAGGCAGAATGCACTGGCTCTCGGAGTGTGGCAGCTGAATCAAGCTCCCATGCCCCTCAACCGAGACACCGTCGCCAGGCATAGTTTCCTTTTACGCCACATCACACTGGTACATCTCACTTGCTTCTGTCATTTTGGATCCTGGCCCCTGCATTCTGGTCCCCACAACCAAGGCTGTTCTCCACCCTAACCCAAGCCCATTTTCCTGTTGGTTTCCCCTGAGCACGGCCCCAGCCGCACTGAGGACCAGTCAGTCCCAACACCAGGCAAACATAAGCCGCTGTCAGAAGACTGGTGTCCCAGGAAGGGTCAGCCTGGCTCTGCCATTCACTGCCACATACAGCAGGTCCTTGACACTGTTTCCCATTTTCACCTGTGAGGTGGAGAAAGCAGTACGGAGGTCATTGGGTTGTTGGGGATTAAGTGATGTGATCGTGGTGATGTCCACCATTCATGGCACATCTGCGTGCCATCATGGGATGAGGGGCCTGCCCAGGGAGGAGTGCGTAGGTGGCAGCAGCACCCATGCATCTTGGAAAATGTGCAGCAGACACACCTTTCCTCATCTTGCTCTCAGATGAGGATTGGGAACTGTCCCAAGGCCCTTAGATAGCCTTTAAACCAGCCCTTGGAGGCTGGGAAGCTCTGTTCTCAAGACTTTCTTCCTGGCACTGGAGTGCCTTCCCTGGGGCCCATCAGTGACCCGGCTTGGCCTGCGAGTCTGAGCACAGAAGAGGCCGTGTGGGCAGGAGCTGCCCCGCTGCACCATCAGACCCCCAGCGCCTGCCCAGGGGCACCGGAGCTCAGGAGAACACAGTCCTAGTGCTTTCTCTTCCTGTTCGTTTTGTTGTTTCCATGGTTGGTGCAGTTTGCTGACGTTGATGTTATTTTACAACTTGCTCTTTCTTAATGAAGGAGAGGGAAGATGAACGCGTACTTGTCTTTAATCCGCCCACCCCCACCCCCAGCACTTCCCCCTCACGCGGGGGGGGGGGGGCGCGCAGAGCAGGTGCCGCTCCCCGCAGCCAGACAGCCTCTTCCCCTGGTGTCCGCCTGCTGCTTGTCCATGGGCCCCGGAGCGTCCCGTTAGTAATCTGCCATGTGGTCCTGGGGAGGAAGAGTAAGCATCTCAACCTAGGAACCATCACCTCTACCCACCCTTTCCCCCAGGAAAGAAAAATAGGGTGACATTTGTACATAGTGGGTCACATGTGCTGGTGGGAAGAAAGTTGAGGAGACTTTGTCCTTTCTGGCTTTTCTTCTCTCGCTTTTTGGCCCTGATTTCTCCAAGATTATCTTCAGTGATTCCAAAAACCGTTGTGCTAGTTTCTGAGTCTTTTTTCAGCTCCGGAAACTGCGTATTTGTAGGTGGGGCTGGCTGCAGGCGCTGTCTCCCTCCGCGCGTCTCCTGGCTCTGCTCCCCCCTTCGAGCCCCATTCTTGTGGCCCCTGTTCCCCCTTCCATGGTGGAGAAGGCGGCAGCCGCCCTTCCCGGGTTGGCTCTCTTACTCGAAGGTGCTTGTGTCCATCCGTCACCTAAGGACACTTCCCCCACGTTTCAGCGCGGGCGGCGCTTTGGCTTTCCAGCTCTGTGCTGTGTTTCGTGGGGGTGGGGGGTTGAGAGCTAACCCACCTTCCTCTCCCCCACTCTCTTCAGTTGGCCCCGTTGGGGACCCGGGCTTGACGGACAGGCTGGAGCGATTTGTGGGGCTCCTCCCCACCCCGACTGTGAGCCCCAGCCCCCCTGCCCTGGGACCTGCCCAGAAGGCAGCCCCCGGCCACTTTCCCCACGCAGGGTGGCCTGACCTGACCAGCGTCCTGTGCTCTCGCCACCGCAGGTCAACAAGCACGCGTTTTCTGGGGGCAGAGACACCGTCGAGGAACACAGGCAGTTCGGGGGCAACTGTGACGTGGACGTGTCCTTCATGTACCTGACCTTCTTCCTCGAGGACGATGACAAGCTCGAGCAGATCAGGAAGGTGAGCCCGCAGGCTGCAGGGTCCAGCCGGCCCCTGGTGCTCTCACACGGGATGTTGGGGGCCTGGCAGCTGGGCTTAGGGTGGCTGGAGCCCCTCAGGGCTGGGCTTGGGGAGCAGGCCCTCAGCTGAGACGAGGTGAAAACTGAGGAGGTCCACTGCCCTTAGCAATGCGCCAGGAAGCCTGGTGACAGTCCGCAGAGGGAAGCATACACTGCAGTGTCGTGGTCACCCACCATGGCCTCCCCTTCCTGGACACCACAGACCAGTAAAGTCGAACAGGACAGAGTCAGGTTCAGACAGTTCCCCACCGAGCCGGCGGGGCTTTGCACTGCCGCGATGTCGGCTGGGGCTCCAAGGCTCACCCAGGTGAGGCGAGGGTCTTGGCACAGCCTCTCGGCAGCAGTTTGGTGAGAAGTCGGAAGAGCCCCAACAGTAACTGTAGCCTTTGCCTCGGGTTTTCCAGTCCTCAGAATCTTTTCCATGGAAGTAATTCTGACCAAGAAAGAAGTCTCCATACAAACGTGTTTAAAGCTGATTGTGGCGAAAAGTTCAGAACAGACTGTACAGCACAGGGGACGCTGACGAGGAGCTGCCAGGGCGGGCGGGCGGCCGTGGGGCTCTGAGGAGGGGTGGGGGGGTGTCGGCGAGTCACAGCCGTGCGTCAGACGGGGTCCTTGGCATGTTAAGAAAACGTTTAAGGTGCAGGTCCTTGGACTTCTGGGCGCCACCCCCGCGCCGGGCTCTGCACGGGGGCTGCGGGCGGGGCTGGCACCCAGAGGCGTGAGGTGCCCAGGCAGGAGGAGCCGCTTGTCACTGTAGTCTCTCTCCTCCCGGTCAGGATTACACCAGCGGCGATATGCTCACCGGTGAGCTCAAGAAGACACTCATCGAGGTTCTGCAGCCCTTGATCGCCGAGCACCAGGCCAGGCGCAAGGAGGTCACAGACGAGATAGTGAAAGAGTTCATGACTCCCCGGAAGCTGTCCTACGACTTTCAGTAACTCCTTTTATATGCGCTTATAAAGAGATGTAATTTACCAATAATTCCAGCCCAATCAAATCAGCAGCACCTGTAGGCTCTGTCACACGGTAATTACTGGCCTGGTATCTGGAAGCCCTGTGTGTGTGTGTCAGTACTGTTTTTCCCCGTCCTCCTTTCTGTCTCTTGGGGGCAAAACCCTTGGGGTGATTGGGTGCAGGCTAACGTTTCATGGTCAAACAGTCCAGCTGGAGTCTCCCACAGAGCAGCCCCCACGTGTGGGACCTTGGGCTGCAGGTCCATGGGCTGGCCTGTCCAGTCCACAGGACAGCTGCTGCCGTTCCCCACACTCTTCAGACCTGCCCTGGGAAAGCATATGGAGTCTGTCTGCATACCTGGAAACAGAACGGCATTAGCATAAATTAAAGCGTGCTTTGAAAAGTCTATGTGGGAAAGTTTAATGAGCACAGATGTATTTCAGCCTGTGTCCAAAAAAATTTAAAAGAAGAATTGTCAGCTGAAAGCTTTGCTCTACATTTGGCTAAGAGAGCTCCCAGCTTGAAAGCTGCTTTTCACGTTGAATATTGGCCCAAGTTGGCCGAGCTTTATTAAATTGAGTCTTCTGTGGGCGAGACTCCGGTTCACTTACCACACTCCAGACCATGCATGCACCACACTCCAGAAATCATACTTTTTCCTGAGCATACTAATACTTCCTTCCACCAAATAATCCTTGACACTCCGCCCTGAAAGCCAATGGCTGCTTCACGCTGCTTGTGCCAGATGCTGAGGGGTCTGTTGTCTTTGCAGATGCTTTTGTTTTGACACTTGACTGGCGTGGAAGTCTTTCTGCACAGAGCAGTGCCCTGGGGCAGGTGGACGTAGCTAGAAAGCGAGTGGCAGCCCTCAAGGCCCTGAGCGGCGCGTCCATGGGAGGCCTGGTTAACCGTGCACCCTGTGTAGTTTGGAAAAGTGGAAGACCTATCTCAGGGAAGGCCCTGGGTTGAGGGGTCTGTGCTTTCTGGAGGTGTAGGGTCCACTCCCTCATGTCACTTGTTGGCGCGAATAAACTTCCTTCGGTCCTGCCTGTGTCACTGTGCTGTCTGGGGTTCGAGGAGGGGTCAAACCTGTTCCAGGCCCGGCGTGGGGTGCTGCACCTGCTGCCAAGTGGTGTGGCCCCTTCGAGGGTGCCCCTCATGTCCACAGGGTCACCGGGGAGTGACACAGAGTGGAGAGACAGCCTGGAAGCCCCTGTGGCCCCGAGATGAGAGGCAGGCTCCCAGGAATCCTTCGCCAGTGCCCTGCTACTGGCTCTCAGACCTCACGGGATGCCTCCAGCCGCCCAGCAGGGATGTCTCGGCACAAGCAGCCGTCCTCTGCACACACGGGCTGGGCTGAAGCTGAGCCGCCCAGCCGCCGGAGGCCCAGGGCAGAGGCCCTGCCAGGATGGAGCCCCAGGCCCCCTCTACCTGCCCAGCCCCACCCGCAGGTGAGGACATTGAGGCTTAAGAGAGGGCAGAGTGACTTGTCCAAGGCCACACACCGTGTTTGTGACAGAGCCTGCCTCTTACTTGCTCTCTCCACATAGAGGGACCACTTCACAAATGAGGGTACCGAGGGTCCCACCCTGGGAGGTGCTGAGGGACCAGCATGCGGCACAAACTCATCCGTCTCCTCCCCGGCCTCGACACCCCCTGGCCAGAGCACCCAGGCCCGCCCACCTGGCTGGCTGTGGTCTCCGCAGCTACATGCCATCTTGTCGCTCCCTGGCACCCATAATCACAGGTGCACTGAGTGGCTAAAACAAGGGGTCTTATGTGACGTCCCCAGGCGGCAGAGCACCAGGGCGGGAGTGGGCGTCATCGTCGACACTGCTCCTCCACACGGGCTGCAACTTCGGGCAGGCCACCCAACCTCTGGGGACCCCCAGCCCTGCCCCACTAAGAGAAGAGCAACCGTACCTAATGCTGGGGTCTTGGGAGCAGTACCCTGGGTCAGAGGTCAGGTGCCTCCCCCAGTGGTCACTGCTGGTAGGGGCCACAGCCGCTCCCACCCCCACATTTTTCTAAAACAGGTTCCAAGGGATCCCCCAGGTTAGGATGGACAGGTACAACAGCCCGGCAGGTGTTGGCAGGACGTCAGGTCGCAGCTCCTGTGGCGTGGGGACTCCTGCCAGAGGAGCTCCCAGCTGTGGGGACCGCAGCTGAGCCAGGGCCAGGGACAGGGCACAGTGGGGAGCTGGGAGCAGGGAGCACACAGTCCAGGATGAGAACAAAGAAGGGGGCTCCCTGCCATCAGACAGGTGCAGCTCTCCCAGGGAGTTCTGTGGCCCTTGGCCCTTCCCAGGGGCCCATGATTCTCCCGTCAGCTGTGGGAGCCCTGGGGACACCACCCTTTATCGCCCACTTGAAATTTCAGGTGCATCCTGGACTTCGTTAAGGCGGCCACGGTTGATGGGAAGACACAGCTGGGCCCTCCTTCTCTTGCCCGTTTGTAAAAGAGGGGGCTGGGTCGGCCCTCCAAAGGACCTTGTCACCTAGAGAGCATGAGGACCTGGGACCAGGCCTTCCTGCAAAGCCATTTGGCCAACGTGGGCGGGGCCAGCGGCTCGGTGACTGAGTCCCCATGCTCCCCAGCTGTGACTGGCAGGGCCGGGAGTACTGCCAGTAACTCTCTTCCCAAGGCCAAAGCAAATGGGTACTAGTGGTCTTCTTGCCAAAAGTGGACATGGGGTCAGGGTTTTGATGAATTATCAACCTTTTGTTAGCTGGTACTCTTTTCCTAGCACCTGGCTAGAACACTAGCATCTTTCACTTGAAGCTGGATGAACTTCTTGGAATCTAGGGTAGGACTTCCTTCATTCCACACCCCCTGAGCACCTACTGTGTGCCAGGCCCTGTGCTGGATAGAGTCCAAATCAGACATGTGGGTGGAGTGGGGTGTCAGGGGTCGGGGGCAGAGGAATGACCAAAACGAGGAGCCAGGGCCCCGTGGGAGCCTCATAAGCAGCCTAGTGGTCAGGCTGGGAGAGCTTCCTGAAGGAGGTGATGCCTAGGATGCGGACTCAGCCAGGCAGAGGAGGGGGAAGGGTGTTTCTGGCGGAGAGCGCTGGGTGTAAGGAAATACTCGGGTCAGTATGACAGGAGCGGACTGGGACGGGCGGGTCCACCCATGTGTCCTGGGAAAGAGTTTCCAGAACACAAGAGGTCCTTCGGTCCAAAGACATGGTCAAGGCCAGTGTCTGTGAGTGAGGAAGATCGAGGCAGGTGCTGGCCGGCTTTACCAGAGCTCTGGCCCCCGATAGCCCCCCGTGCCTGGCAGTCGTGTGGTGCCAACAAGAGGACTTCAGAAATGCAGGCGCAAGTCCCCACCACCACCACCACCACCCCTGCCACAGTGGGCAGGCCCAGTTCCCTCCCTGAGCTGTTTGCTCACCTGGTGTCAACCTGTTATGACCTGTGTAAGGGACCTGGCACCCAGCAGTGTCCAGGGTACACAACCCTCCCTCCCTCCTCCCTCCAGGCCAAATGTCTGGCAACACGGGCCAGGGCAGCTGGCTGGAACCCAGTTTCTCTCAGACAGGGGTGGGTTTGGGATGTGGGTGGTGAGGAGAGCAAGCCTCATGCTGAAGGCTGAGTGGCCTCCCGTGTTAGGGTTCAGCGCCCCGAAGGCCAAGGGATTGGAGCCAGCCAGAGTGCTGGGCCTCAGTGTGCCCATCTGCATAGTGGGAACACTGGCCACACAGGTCTGGAGGGCTGGGCCTCTGAGGATAAGCTGATCGCCTGCCCCACAGACCACAGAGCAGCACCACTGAGCATGCTCAAAGACGTTTTATTGTCAACAGCTCCCCGCTGAGTCTCGGGGATCTCCCAGCAGGGCAAGGGCGTGAGCAGGTCTGGCAGCACGCTGGCCGTGGCCATCGGGTCAGTGCCCTCTCTGAGCAGCCTGGTGCAGGGGAGCGAGCCGGCCGGTGCCCAGGAGCTCACTAAGCAGCCGAGGAGAGCTGAGCGGGGGGCGGGGGGACCTGGCGGGGAGGGCGGCCGAGGGACTGAATGGAGGCACAGGGGTGCTCTGAAGATGCGGGCGGGCGGCAGGGAGGGGTGACAGGGAAGCTGGAACTCCAACGACCTGCTCAAATGACTCCGTGTGACGGATGTCCTCGTCCAAGAGGCCCACTCCTCCCTGGCTCGTGTGACCCTCAGGCCACCCCCAGGCTGATGGCAGACGGGCCCCTCAACCTCCTTGTGGTCCGTAGCCGGGCAGGCAAAGCCCCGAGCACGGCTGACTCGGGCTTCGGGGAGGCTCAGGCGGTCCTGGGCGGCGGCTCCGTGGGGCCCAGACCCCGACGCTCTCCTGCGCCCCCTGCAGCCACGAGGACCTCGGGAAGCTGCCGGCGGGCCGGCCCCTGGGGCGTTGGGACTGGCTACGTGGACAGGCCCCGGATGAGCCCCAGCACGGCTTCGTAGGCAACAAAGACCACCATGTTGACAGGGAAGGCGCGGCAGCAGTTGAGCGTCAGCCCCTTGAAGAGGACCCGCGGCCCCTCCTCCCGCACGCTGGTCACCACGCAGTGCAGAAGGCCCCGGTAGCGTCGCTGGCCCTGCCCGTCCGCCTGCAGGCGTGACTTGATCACGTCCATGGGGGTGGCCACGGCCCAGGCCAGGACCCCGGCACAGCCCCCAGCCACCAGCACACCCAAGACATCTGCAGGGAGAGAGCCGCGAGCGCCTCAGCCGCACGCCAGCCGGCGACACAGAGGAGGCCAAGCGGGGGACCCCCGGAATGAAGCCCGGGGCGCAAGCCACCGACGTGACCTATACAAAGCCACACGGCGGGCCCGTCCCGACTCCCCGTGTGGTGGGCACGGACGTTCCCACCCCGGGAGGCTCCGTGGCACCCGGATCTGGCACGACCGCATCCACGCCTCCTCCCCCCCCCAACCCCCCCGCCCGGCCCCGCTTGCCCGGCCCCAGGCCCCGCTCACCTGGCCGGCTGTGGCCAGCGGGGGTGAGCTGCTCGCAGAGGATGGTGTAGGACAGGAAGTAGGTGGCGAAGGAGTGGCCGTCCCGGAAGAGCAGGGCCGAGCTGCCCTTGTAGAGGCCCCGCAGCCCCTCCTCACGGGCCACCGTGGCCAGACAGTGCAGTGGCCCTCGGTACTTGGGCCTGGGCGCCGAGCGGGCAGGGGGCGCCGGACACATGGGGGGCGCGGCCGAGGGCCATGAGGCCGAGGGGCGCCGCTGCTGCGTCTGCGTCTGCGTCTGCGTCTGCGTCTGCGTCTGCGTCTGCGTCTGCAGGCGGACCTTGGCCACCTCAGTGGGCGAGGTCAGGAACACCTGCCGAGAAGCAGCAGGGATAAGAGGGCGCCCTCCCTTGGCCTCCTGTTGCCCCGGGCAACACCCGCGCCTCCGGCCGGTCCGCCTGGCCCACCCGTCCCGGTGCAGCAGGGTTCGCAGCCAGTGCTTGCTTCTGCCACCCAGGCTGCCGGCTGGGAGCGGGCCCGGCACACCATAGGTGTTGGGTAAATGTCTGTGACTCGGGTTCGTGGAAGTATTTATCACATAACTAACATGGGAATGACATCCATGTACTAACTATGTGATTAATATAAGTATTTAGTGTAAGAATAGTACAGTACTAAATGCATTTAATAACATGACTAAGTAACATAATATCACCAATAATACTGGCTGCCGTTCTGTGGGTGCTCACACCTGTCAGACTCCGTGCTAACGGGGGGGGCTCTGCACTCATAACCTTACTGGGTCTTCACCACGCCTCTTACGAATGAAGAGACAGAAGCTCAGAGAGGCTCCCTAGCTTGCCCAAGGTCACTCAGCTAACAAGAATCAGCTGGGCCCTCACCCACAGCCCCCCCGGCCCTCCTCCAGTCTCTGCCCTGCCCCAAGCCTCCGTGTCCCCCTCTGCGGGGCTGGGTGGCCTCTTGGGCGGCTCCCTCGGCACCTCCGGACCCCGCAGTGCTGAGGCCCCCACTCCCACCCCCCCACCCCCACTCACGCGGACCAGGCCAGAAGCAAATCCTGACAGCGTGATGTCGGGCTTGGCAGGCTTGGCATCGGGGCTGCCGTATCGAAATCGGCAGATGTGCGCCAGGCAGTGGCGGTAGGTCCCGAAAGACACGGACGAGACCAGGGACACGGTGCACACGGGCAGCGAGAGGCCTCGGTAGAAGCCCCGCACCTGGCGGGTAGACAGACAGGACCCGAGGGCCCGAATCAGGCCAGAGGCCCAGCCGGGAAGGGGGCCGCCCAGAGGGGCCCTGGGCCAAGGGGGCTGGGTCTCAGCCCTGCTCTGGCCTCCCTGGCCGGTCGCTCGCTGCCAAGCTCTCCGCGTCCTCGGCTATAGATTGGGGATCATAACACTCCACTTTCGAGGTTATGTGAGGGACTGAAGAGACAGAGGGCCAGGCTGGACCTAGGACAGCTATTTGATGATGATGATGATGATGATGATGATGACATTGAGTAGCATGCTTTATTGTAGCCGTTTTTCATTTGTTCACCCCTGGCCAGCATCGAACCCCAGGTTCACTTTGGTAAGTATCCCTGAGTCCCTCCTCTGGACCGGGCTCTCGGCTGGACGCTGGGGACACCTCACAGCTCCACCCAGCATGGCTTTTAAGGGATGCCCAGCCTGGAGGGGATAGAAATGCAAACACTCGGGGTCCCCCCCCCGACCCTCAAAGGCCCCGGATGCCACCTGTAGACCCTCTCCTGAAGGCAGGACCTCATTCTGAGCACCTCCTATGTGCCAGACGCCTGGCTCTCGTCCTCAGAGAAACCCAGCAGGTTGGTACAATCATTTCCATTTGGAAGGTGACAGAGCTGAGCTCAGATGGCTTCAGCACCCCCTGGCTGGTTGGGAGCGGCAGGCCTGGGGTCTGAGGCCCTGACATACTCCTGCCCATTACCCTGGGCCCCGGCCTACCCGCTCTTGGCGGTATGTGTCCCAGACGCAGTGCCAGATGCCCCTGTACTTGGGCTCTGTCTGGATCTTGACCTGTGAGAGAAGCAGACTTCAGGAAGGGGTGGCTCCAGGCCGACGGCAAGGTCAGTAGGCCTGGGGGAGGGGACGAGACAACGCCTTGATTTTCATATGCGTGCTGAGTGTGGGCAGAGCAGGGATCAGGAGCCCCATGTAAGACAAGAAACCTGAGGCACAGATGAGAAGAGGGGCTGACATAGTCCTGAGGAGCGTGGGGAAGGCTGGTCTGATTAGCAGGCCAGAAAGTTCTCTGGCCACAGGTGGATGCAGGTGACTCGGAGGGCAGCCTAATCCCAGCCAGGGGCCTTTGGATGGACGGCAGAGGCCTGCCTCTTGCCATACCTTCACCGTGTCCAGGGGGTAGCCCACAGCAACACCACAGACACCTGGAAGGAAATCAGAGGGACCAGGTGAGAAGGAAGAGTAACCTGATCCTGTCTCACGGCAGGAGGCAGCCCTGAACCCCGACCAGCTCCCGCTGAGAATAGACCCACACTTCTTGTCCACACCGTGTCTCATCAACCCTGAGCGTGCTGATGCAGAGAAGGAAACTGAGTCTCAGCCAAGCTGCTAGCAGTTTCTCCTTCCGCGTCTTGGCCCAGCCATGCCTTGTTCCGAAAGCCAGGGACGCGTTTTGGGAGCGCCTCTGTTTCGACACTTGCTGCGCTCTGCCTCCAAACCAGGCAGCTCTTGTCCTGAAGCCTGTGACGGGTCTGTCTGCCTTTCAGCGGCCAGGTGCGTGTGAAGGAGAGGCACAGACCCAACGAAGGCCATGAGGTAGGAAAGCCCAGGTCACCCAGGGCTCTGTGAAGGACGGCCTGGCTCTCCCTGCAAAGGGCCAGGTGCCACATCTTGTTCCTTTCTCCTTTCCTGACACTAGAGCCTCAACGTCCACGCCCCCAGCACTGCCCTGGGGAAGCCAGAGAGCCACAGAGCCCTGGGGTTACATCCCCCAGGGGTGAGGGGTGGTGAGGGCCACCTGAGGACAACAATGCCCTTGGGGGCCCTGCCCTATTTACTGGGCATCCCAGGACTCAGTAAGTGTGCATGAATGAATGAAGGAGTGAGTGCACGAACAAAGGACTGACTGAATGACTTGATTGGAATTATCCTCCTTGACCCTCACACAGACCTCACCAAACTCCTACTCATCCATCAAAGCCCTGCCACAGTATCACCCCCTCTCTGGAGCCCTCCCTGGACCCCTGTATCTGGGTTGCCTCTGTGCCGGAAAACATATTGATTGGAGCGCTGATCACGTGGTTTTGCTTCCCTCCCACGCATGCCATGTCTGTCCTCCACAAGGACAAGGCCCAGGTCTTCAAGAGCCCTTCCTGGCTTTGTGATCTTGGCCAAGTCAAGCCCCTTCTCTGAGCCTCTTCCTTAGGGGGCTAACACGCAGGAAAGCAGCTGGCCTCTGGCCCGGCGCAGAGTCGGACCTCAGAAAGGTCCCCGGGGAGGCCAGGGCTCCAGCCTGCCCTGGGTCAGCACTGCCCTCCCTTCCTGAGGGAGGGGGACACCCCACGCCATTCCCAGAAGTATCGACCAGCACCCACGGCTATTTCACAAGACCGGCAAGGCTAAGCGTGCCCCGCCCAAATTAGGCTCCCAGCCTGCAGGATCGAGGGCCGGGGTGGGGGAAGCCCGTCCCCCGCCTGTTTCCCAACAGGCCAGTTATCTCTCTGGATTTGTCTTTTGCAACCAGCTCTTTCCCCAGAAGGGAAAATAGCTTGGGAGGCCAGCAGGCTGGGACAGCAGTCAGCCAGCCAGCGGGTGTGGCCGGGGCTCGGCAGGGCCTCTCCCCCCCCCCCCCCCCCCCCCCCCCCCCGCAGTCCGTGTTTCCGGACCCAGGCCTGTTTGTCCTCGCTGCCCACCCTCCCCCAGCCTCTTGTTCCTTCCCACAGCTCAGCCGTCCCTCTCCACACTGACAGCCCAGGCGGAGACCACCCTCTGCCCCCGCAGCCCTCCCCCCC